GGGGGGGGGGGGGGGGGGGGGGGGGGGGGGGGGGGGGGGGGGGGGGGGGAGGGTTCAAGCGCATGGCCAATCGTACCGTATCATGCCGAAGTGGGCAGCACGTACCCTTCCGTAACCTTAAATAACCGGCAAAGAGACAAGAGCATTGTGGCTCGCGATGTTGATGTTGTTCTTGCCTACTACGTACAGTACCCGTGGAGACAGCAGAGCATCTACCTCCGCTTTCCAGTGTGAGCGAGCAAACACACAAAACATGCCCCTGTGTGCACAGTAGGCGTCGTCAGGCGATCAAAAAACACTCGGCACTACCGAATGCATCCACCAGCAACCCCAAGCGGTAAGCAAGCGACGACAGGAGGGCCTGCTGGCAGCACGACATGCTTCATATCTGGCTCCCTACTCACGCCGACAACCGTCGAAGCGACAGCATATCGTAAAACCGGACAAGACCGAAAACCAGGTTCTTCTCCCCCAAGTACTTAACTCTACAATCACACGAGGTCCTGCGGTAAGGCACCGTACACCGACATGCATCCTACGTTGAATTTGTTCGTCGTATTGGCAACCAAAGAGATCACGCTTGGACCAATCAGACCCCCGCCCAAATGATCGGTTCTTGTTTCTATTCCGCGGCGGGGGCTTCGTAACGCTATCAGCATCATCGTGTCGTACAAGAACGGCGCACGCCGACACCACCGCCAACCAACCGCAAGCAGCGTCCCATTGTCCCCCCAAGGATGAGACGCGCTCACTGCAAAAAAAAAAAACTATGATAGCCTTGCTCGCACGAAGGAAGGGACGGGCCTTTCGAATCCAAGCTTGAGATCTATGCGCAACCCTCTTGTCCGCTACAATCACAACTTGTGTGGAACGCGGGCTTGCATTCGCAGGTAGGCGATTGAACGATCACACCGTAAAAGCGAGATTGATCATCCACCATGGCGCTGCATGACCCGCACGTGGCGGGGAAAAAACGTGAGTTGACCCGGCAAACAAGACAGAGAGAAACACGACAACGACATTAAATACAAGACCAAATATAATTTCTCAAGAATGCAAGAATATCGTGGCGCTCTTGGCAATCTCCCTCCTCGACAACAAAGCGAAAAAATAAACAGTTGTACAACCTACACCACCGCGCCTGTTGCCTCCAGCTTGCGTGTGGCAGTGCATCATCATCAATTTCCAATTACCGAAAAACTCGCTGCGGCCGAGGGACACTGCTGTAGCGAGCATTTGCGCGGAGGGGCTCAAACAAGACAGACAAAAAAACGAGCCACATCGGCAAGACCCCACGCCCAAATCTCTTGTGTTTGCTCGCGAGCAAGGACAACCAGCAAGAAAACATACACACAATGAATGGATGAATGGCTGTTCCAGATCACGAGAGCCACGAGCTTGGACAGCAAACCTAACCGATTTGGAATCGACGTACACGTTGTGGAAACATGAAACTTACGCCGTCCTGTCGCACACGTCCGTTCAAAGCCAAAGCTTCAAGGCAGCCGGCCGGGTTTCCTGTCGAAGTGCGGCTACGTACGAGACACAACAAGTTTACACGCCGAAACGATTTGCGTGGTTTCATTGTATTATTTCTGGCGGAGAGTTAACAGACTAAGACTTTCTCGAGAGGGAAAACCCCCCGCCACAACATACACAACATTCAACCTCACGCCAGTTTCCCTTCATCTCTACATCCCTTCCCGTTCACAGCCTTCCGACGTCAACGAAAGGGCGCATAAACGGAAAAAGAACGGAAAAAAAGTGGAAAAAAAGCAAGACACCACCAATAACGATCACATCCAGCACCGACGCATCCTCCGAGCGGATGTAACGACAACAATCCGAACCGCGAATCAGCGCCCACAAACCAATTTTTCGGCTGGACCACCCGTCAGTGCTGAACGCGGTACGCTTTACGACGGGACCCCCGCCATGTAAAACACCGGTGTCTGCAGTATGTAGGCTTATCAGTATGTGTCACTCAACCCAGCACCCGCACCGGGGCTAATACGTGGCTAGCCGCGGCCCTCGCAAGAACTAATGTCACAGCATCTCCCGTACACCCCCACCACCGCTGGCAATCCAACCAACGAGAAGGGAGGGCTCTCTCTATCTCTTCGCACGATATGCACCTGCCGACGAACAACATCTCGATCGAATCGCCCCTGCTGATGCTAACCAGTGCTTCCCCGCGTCGTGCGCGCGTGCCCCCCAACAATTCATGTGAAGAAAAAAAGGGCCTGCTGCTTGAGCGCACCCTATAGAACAGCAACACCCGTTCGTGCAGGGCAAACAACAACGCCCGAACAGCGGTAGCCGTCCACCTTTGAACCATGTCGGCTCCCACTGCCGCGGATAAACAAACCCTAACCCGACAAGAAAATAGCTACTGGTCACGTCAAGCAATCTACTACCCACGGAAGCGAAGCCCCCCACCCCACCGACGCGCGAAAGACACGTCCCCACCACATTTGTATGACCGCAAAACACACACCAAAAAGAGCGACACCAAAATCTAGAAAAGTCGCAAACATGCGCGGTCTTGCCACACGCGGCTGCGGCGGCGGCCAAGGCATGCTGCCGCGCCAACGCTCTCCTTGAAGCGGCCGGAGGAAAGGCTCGAAACCCAAAATACTTCTCGGCCGCCAAAAAACAAAGGTCCACGCTC